CGTCTATTTTTCATGCTCAGTCGAAATGACCCCGTTCCGAAATGCTTCGGTAAATGTTTGAATAGCTCCATTTTTACGGAGCCTTCTATTCCTTGACTAGACCAACTCCATGCAGACATATGAAACTGCAGCGCGAATACAGCAGAGGCCACTCTTCAATAAGTTTTTCTAAACTGCCGATCATTTTTGAACGGACATATAAACCTTCAAACGTCGGATTTTGAAATTGAGTGTGCATCGCAGGTAGTGCCATCAATCTGGTTCGATATAGTTGAGTTGGTAAGCAATCAATGTATCCATTGAGTCTTGCCGGAATGAAGTTGAGCTTGGTTTTGTCGGCTGTTTGATGAAGCTCAGGACTGCGCTATATCGGCGGGATCCTGGCCTAATAATATAGATATAAGCTTAAAAGGTAGTAATTGATGCAACTATGTTTGAAAAACATCGTCTAAAGGCGTTCCTTCCGCTCCCGAAACGGGGTGCTCCCAGGCAAGAGAGGGGTCTTGTCAACGGCGTGGAACAGTTTTTTCTGCTTTCTTTTTCGTTCCAGATCACTGTCTACCCTAAACTTCATCACTGAATGAAATTGTTGAAAATAAGGTTCAGAAGTAGTAGCCCTGACCCTGAGTCCACTGTCTTCGTTTGGTTGTACGTTTAGCTGCTTTGACACCATCACACATTTACTTCACCGGAGAGATGAAGTGTTCTGGCACGTTCCTTCTCCGAGCACTCACCAAGTATTACTTACGGTAGACGGTCGGAGGCTTTCTCTAAGTTGAGGTGACAGGACCGCTTTCTTTCCTCACTCTAGTCTCCACTCACAAATTTGAGAAGAAAAAAAGGAACTTGCAAGGAAACGGGAGTGTTGCATGAATTTTCCTATTCACTTTCACCTTTTCCTTTACTAATAACAGTAGTTGTGTTTCCAAAAGGAGCAACACCCGAGTATGGAATGATCAAGAGATATCTTCAGGAGATATGTCCAAATTACCGGCGTCGTCTACGTCAAGCCTCTTTGCAAGCCGAGCTGCGCCTCTTCGATAGCATAGAAGTGGAACTATCACAAGAAGATATCAGCAAAAAGAAACTATCGCGAATATCTTCAGGTTTCTGGATCGACATTTCACTTCCACAGAATTAATTTAAGAGTAAATAGATGTAAAGAACATGAGAGTAGGTAGCTAGCTCACGAGGATTCATTACATTTTATGCTTTTAAGAGGTTCCTCATGCAAAATGTGAAGGTCTCATAATCAACATTTTTTATTCCAGAATCGACGAACAACCTTCGCATTTCGAAATCTCTATTCGCTCTCATCGTAGCGGTGTGCTGTATTCTTTTCATCACCACAGTCGCAATCTCGTTCTTGGCGATATCTTTCTACATGGCACTTCACTCACAAAAACACAAGACACTTTATTCGATGCATCAATGACAGTCATCACCCTTGTTAGTCAACGGCAACAAGGTTCATTCATGTATATGTATTGATTACAGTAGCGATGATTGCAAGCCTGTACAAATTTGAAACGCAGCGAGTTCTATAGCTATGCCTAATCAGGCCCTGGGGTTTCACAAATGAAATTTCTCCGTTTATGTGCATGAATATGTCAGTTGTGATCACTGGAAATAGCACACAAAGTTTCACGCATGAAGATTCGGTTTCTGAAGAGAAACAAACGTACAAAAACTACACGTTATGGACCATCGAAGGACCAGGAGGCAGAGCCAGGCGAGGCATGGAAAGAAGACGGCGTTTGGCCGGCTACGTACCAGGCGACGCAATGAGAGAATCGGGTTAAAGCGCGCGATTTCGGAGAGTGGAGACAAATCGATCGATGGAATAGGATGGAGTAGAAGTGTAAGATGTGAATGCAACGAAGCAGAAGGCCAGAAAGAGCTTCTAGTGAATGCACTCCAAGAACCAAGTTTGAGCATCCCCGTCGCCAGCATTCGTGAAAGACGTCCGTGGGCAATTCGAACGCGTAGCAGCCTTTTCGAGTTTTCGAATTTCTAATCAAAACGAAAGCAATACTTCAGTTCTTTTCACTATTATCGTGGATAATGAGTCTCAAGCCAGTGATTTATGGCTGAAATAGAATCATGATTTTTCCGCGCAAGATTCCTTTAATGGCC